TACTGTCGTCGCTATGCGCAGACGCCACCGATGCTCCTCCTAGTATACGTCGACGGTATTTTATACAGTGGCAGCGGTACGCTGCACCAGTTACCCACCCCCGACCTTCACCATCCGAACACGTAGACGCTAGCTGGTTAGCGTACCGTCGCTGCCGCTGCCGCCACCACCGAGCTGCTGCTCCCGTTTCTACCAGAGGTCTTGCCGCCGCGGCCTCAGTCGTCCGTTCAGTCCGCGGCCGGCTATCGCGACGACGACGCACTAGTGGCGCGTACATTAATAAATAGTTGTCTCTCAAATATATATAGAACTCGGTCTCTGTTGCAATATCATATTTTTCCTTTTGCTCAGTAATAAACGCGCGCATAAATTCGACATGGCCCATCAAACTTAACAAAATACCGGCGATTCAATTTATTTTTATTTTTTTCACTCTCTTTCTCAATCTTCCGCAAACGCCAGCGACACCCGTGATGATGGAACACCGCCACTAAAAACGAGGGGGCAACAGATATTTATACACGTCGATCCTGCACTACGGTCTGAATATAATATTGTTGTAATCGTCGTAATGTCCGTAGTATACAATATAATAAAATAATATTACTTATAAGTCTCATATAATTATAATAGTTCTAAATACGAATTGTACGCGAGTATACGGCGATGGCTTATTATTAAAAATATTTATTGTAAATCAAGTGGTGTCTACTATATTATAATACGTAAATAAATTGTTGGCACGGATATTACGACGACAGTAATAGTATAGCCGGTAGGTAACTTTGTTGTTGTATAAATAGATCGCCTACGATCACAACGACAGTGATTATTACTATGAATCAAAAATATTGTACGTTATTATTATTCCTTCGTTAATAATACTATATTATAGTTTTAATTATTATTATTATTATTATTATTTTACTAGTCCTATATGTTTGTCTCCCATATAACATTAGTTTAGAATAATTTTAATATAGTTATTATTTCGGTATGATATTCACTACAATACATGGTGGTAAATGCAGCTAATGGTGAGAGACTACCATTTTCTACTGAGATGCGTGTAGCTGTAGCTGGTTGGATCCGGGCCAAATACACATGATAATTGAATCGCATGCGGTGACGGTGGCACACGTAAAATGGAAAAAACAAATTTGTTAATTTTCAAATTTAAATCCATTTGACCTCTCCCCGGTTATCATAATGTGTATTATCACACATTGCCGGGGTGGCGGCGGCGTTGTTGTTTCCGCTACCGTGCGCGAACACATTTGGTCCCCTTCAACCAGCTGTAGCCGGCACGCAAAAAGCTTCAATTTCAACAACGATCAAAATATATTCATCGACCAAATCATATTTTTAACATGCACAATAGGATTAAGTATAATATTAAGATTGTTTGTAAATTTCGTACTTTAGATAATACATAATTTTAAGACTATATACATTTACGCATGTAAAAAAAAAATTTTCAGATTTTTTCTAGCAATTAAATCAGTCCTACAAATAAGATATTTATGTACATCGATCAAGTTATTTATTATGTATTTAAGTAGGTACGTATAGACTTTAAAATATATTTATTTATGAATAGGACTATTAATATGTATAGTAATTCACTGATTTTTCAACCCGTATAGAACATTTTTTATTACTTGGTGATGATGCTAATAACTACCCCTTTAAGTTGATGCTCGAAGGATCCTCAAGCTTAAATAACGACAGAGAAATTTCATATTCCACTTCGATGATCTCCTTACCATCACATGTCATTTTTCGAATAGCAAAAGGAGTTGATTTTTTTCGTTACACATCGCTCGACAAAAAAAATGAATTAAATATTCATCAAAAACATCTTTATTTTATTCCATACATGGGATTAAATCAACCAAGTAAAATAGATGGTAGGTATATAATAAAAACCATAGGCCTCTAAAATATATGAAATCTTTAACTATTATCGTGCAGTCTTAATAATAATAATAATAATAATAATCAATGGTAGTAAAATAAAAACTTTTTTGGAATTTAAATAAAAATCTGTTAAACAATATACTTGTATAATTATTTTGTAATTAACGATTTAAAATAAGCAACATCATAGATAATCATGACACAAATTTTTAAAATATTAAAAAAAATATATTGTCATAATCAGGACATATCCAAATGATAATACTATATTTTAAACGCGCATACAACAACCACAAATGTGTCATAGATTATTGCCTTAAAACACTGACCCTCACATATGGTCTCGAATGTAATGCCACAGATAATGATTATTATCATTACCGCTTATCGCGTTCATATAAAGTTAGGTACTAAGTTGATAACTAATTATATATATGCTTCAAGTTTATAATACACAGTGGCAAAATTATAGTTTCCCATCAGCATATGACCAGTACAGCCAAACGACACTACCGCTGCTTTATTAGGATGACAACGACCAACGTGCAGGACCAACTTCTGGAAAGCGAGCCAATTCAGCGTTAGTCCATACACTACTCGAATTGTGGTGAAAGTCCAGAACTCCCATTGCTGGTGCAATGCAGAAGCGACTTTAAAAAAAATAGTGTACGATATTCATGTACCTCCCTCTCTTCCCTCTTTTTCCTCGATGACTGTTTCTTCTCCACCACAAGCAAGTTTCCCTAGTCACGCGTCTGCCCCCGACTTCAATAACTCATAACCAAAGCCACTATCTATTACGCATGGTGGCGGTGTTCCCTCTTTGTTTTCCATCCCAGACTTTGTGACTGCCACCGCCGCCACCACCGATCGAACAAGCTGCTATTAATCACGCTTACGCTGATATAACGTATAGCCTGCGATGGATAACGCTAAATGGGGAATTTCGGATAACTAGACCGTTATCTTTTTTTATTAACTTTTTGAGCTCTTTACACTCACTTGAAACCGGCATATTTAATTCCGAGTACATGCATATATGCAACACCAACGAAAATCGCACAAGGCAGGTTAGGAGAACCTACAGAAGCAGTGGCGTATATAGGAGGGTGCCTAGTGACCTACAACCCCCCTACCCGAAATGTTTTAAAAAACTTAAAAATTATTTTAAACATATGTTATATTTTAATGGTACTTTATGCTTATTTAGAATTTGCGTCCAACGTCAAGCCGTTTTGAGACATTCTATAAATGAAATGCAAATAAGTACCTACTGTGTCTTGTCAGTAATTCTTAGATAGCAGTGATAATTTAACTCTGTCCATAGTAGCCCCTTCCGAAAATATTTTCTGTATACGCCACTGTATAGAAGCGTTTATTTTTCTACGAAAAACATATCAACACGATTCTTGGCTAATACCATTTTATCTATTAATAATAAATATGAAATTATAAACGTACTGCTATTAAGGTACGGCCCCACTGGGAGCGATTCTGCGATTCTGCGTTTCGAGCGTTTCTGCGATTTTACACGCGCGATGTCCTCTAGCGATTTTGATAGGGACACTTTAACGATTTTACATGCGTTTCTGCATTTTTAGTTGCGCGTGTTCGTGTATTTTTCATTTGTTTATTCAATCCTCGACTAAGATGACGTCCAGAAAAATGTTGCTGGCTGAAAGTGCTGCTTTACTTGATATTTAAAAGATTATTATTATTATTTTATTGTTTATAATTCTTTGGACATTCTGACAATTAATGAAGGTATCCACTCTCCCATCAGTATAATATTATAATTTATAACACTTTTCAGTTTTATAACATTCGATCTGAGAAATACTGTTTTTTTAATAAAAAGTACTTACAGTAGATGCATAACAGTAATTATTGTCATTTGTTGTCAATATTTATCTAATTTTGCAGCTCTAATTTCTTTAAAATTATATGTCACCCCAAAGTAATGCAATACTTGTACTCTAGTTAAGAGCTTCAGTATATTTATTAGTTATTAGCTAATATACTATATTATACTATGATACTATATTAGCTAATATATCAAAATATATAATATTAATTAATTAAATTACCATTCATGTCAAGATCCTTTCTAATGTTGGACCAACATTTTTGAATCTTAGTCCTATTACTGTGGTCCGGGTGTCTAGGATTCCAAATAGCTTCCTGTACGAAGACAGCGGCAGCTATTTGTTCGGACACAACCGACGCGGAAGACATTTTGACAGCGATTAATTGCTGAATATCAAACTATTTTGTTCTTTCAGCGATTACCGAGCGTGTAAAGCTACACGCGACACGCGGCACGCGCTTAGTGGGGCCACTACATATGAGTTACATACTTTTGTTAAAATCGCTAAAACGCAAAATCGCTACACACTATCGTAAAAACGCAAATCGCTCCCAGTGGGGCAATTGCTACCGATTGTGTTTGTAAGAAATTCAAACAATTTAAGGGCGACATTTTAAATTTTTCCTACGTGGCTATATTAACTACATATATATTTTATTAAAAATGAATGTTTCGTCAGTTTTTTTAATGAAAATTAATTTTTTCATTTAAACAAGAAAGTTCATATATGAACTAACATAAATAATTAAAAATAATTGAAAAGTTGAACATAAATGTACATAATTGTAATAATAATTAATCATCTCCAAAAAGTAACCCTTCCGAAATAAATGTTATTATATGAAAGAGACAAATGACCAACACATTTTTAAACTGATCTATTTGCTTCTCTATTTCATAGCAAATCGATCAAAATCAACGACCGATGACTTAGACACTTTAAGCATTTTTCTAATTCTTACTATACCTGAAGGCTGTAATACCTTAAACGTACAATAGAAAATGAAATAAAAGGTCATACGTATTAAATAATATCCAAATACTAAAATCCTCCTTAAAATTGCCACATTTTAGGAAAATATCCTACATATCTTATTTATCAGATCCACGTAAGAAGCATAGTATTTTGTCAATTTTCAAAATGTTTGCATACTTCGACAGCGATAATATATTGCTATAATTCTACTTGATAAAATTAATATTTATCACTCACCCGGGATTACCACGCAGTGCGGCGTGCTGCAACGGATTAAACCCATTTGTATTGACTACCATGAGGTCAGCCGGTGGCGACCCTATAGCAGGATATCCCAGCTCGGCGTTCATATTAGTGGCACATTCTGCTGGTGTACTAGCTTTGCAGTGATCACTCAAGTTCATTTCCATGGCCATAGAAGGCACTGCAGAAGAACACGATACAGAGGCAGAACACCCGGTAGCATCTTCATTCTGACCACTAGCTATTGATACTCCTCTTTTAATGTCCGATGTAACCGTTGTCGATGTAGCATTTTCGTCTCGATTCACAGATGCAGTATTACTTATTGTTGCAGCCACAGTATTCGTTGCAGCAGGAGCCACGGTCACTTCAACGTGATTTGGCATTGGCTGTCCACGATCGAAAGCGCGTTCACTTCCATTTAGAACAGCGGCGGTCACAGTACTTGATGGTATATTATTGGTCACAATGCATCCTCCTCCACCCTCCATCAACATAGCTACCAAATCGTCACGTTTTCTGGATATGGCATCATGAAGCGGGGTGTCACCTTCGTTGTCCTTTTGTAAAACAGAAAAAAAATTACTATTTGTTAAAATTTTGTTGAACACAAGAAAAATATATTTTTTTTCAATATTTTTTTAAGAAAAATAATTTAAAAATGAGTGCTTAATTTAAATTAAGAATTGTAATTAATTACTTAAAATATCAGTCTAAATATCGAATTATTCAATAAATGTCAATAACAACTAACAACAATAATTAATAAAAAAATGAATGTCATATAATATATAGAATAGATAAACTGACTATATAGTGATTAATCATAAAAACAACTAATATAAAATATCAATTCTAATAAAAAGAATACTTTTAATACATACTTCTATACATTTAATAATTAATACTAATTATTTTTATTTTTTATAGGTAGGTATTGGTTTAAAAAATACAAAATAAAACCATTGAGTAGGTATTAAAAAACATTCGATGTTATCCAGAAAAAATAGATCAATTTAATTGACATAAAATTAAGATATTTCTTCCAATTAAAATTATATCATTTAACAAAATATAACTTTTTTAACACATTTCAATTTGAAGCTAAATAAAAAACTATTAATATGCATTTCTTTTTTTTTTTATATATATTAAACTAAATATTGTAAATTTGAACTTAAATACTATGTATTTCTCTTGAAAAGGAGTTCTATAAATGTTTTATAATTTAAATTAAAAAATAATGCTATATACTGAACTCAACAAAGGCACTATAAAATATTATGTTACAAGACTGTTTATTGTATTTTATTTGTAAAAAAACTATTAAAAATTATTTAAAAAATAAACTTAATTCGTAATATTTCAACTTAAATCATGTTATCATTTCCAACAACTGCCTGGTTTTAAAATATAAAAATATTAAGGAGATAATAAAGAAAATTATATACAACGAAAATACATAACACAATCGTATCAATTTTAATTTTTTATTTGTCTGTAATATGATATTAAATTTCAAAGGCATCAGAGTAGATTAACATTAAAATATTAATATTATAAATTTCTTCATATAGGAGTGATCTATACAATTTATGTATGTAAACTAGAATGTAATTTAAAATCTAATTTTTAATTGAAAAAATGACAAATCAGCTTGTGAATATCCAAAAACAAAATTTAGAAATATTTTCAACAATGTACATTTTTACACAATTATGTCACCAACACATAATCAGAATAGCAAATATCACCAATAATTTAACCAACATCACTAACCTGTAGATTTGGCAAGCAATTTAAACGTAACAACATACGGCAAACATAAGCATATCCACGATTCACAGCTATGTGTAGTGGAGTCTGACCACGTTTATTCCGTGCATTTATGTCCGCATCAAAAACAACACACAATACATGAATTACATGTGGTTGGTTGCCAAATGCAGCATGGTGAATAGCTCGGTCACCATCTTTATCCTAAAAAGAAAAAAAACAATGATAATAGTAGCGTTATAAGAATAATGTGACTTTGTTACATTTTAAATTGTACCAATATGTTGAGTTATCCATCAATTTACACACAAATTAACAATAATTAATTTTTCATATAAAAAAAAAAAAAAAATACCAATGTGTTAACTTCAATATAATAGATAATATAGTCAATAAACAAATAATAATATTATTTACAACATATCACTGAGTTTTTCATGATATCACAATTTAAATTTACAACTTAAAAAATGTTTTTTTGTTAAACCATAGAAAGCATTAATTATATATAAGTTAACTTTAATATTTATCCTCATTGAAATTTATATTTGAAAAATATAATAGACAATAATTATAAATTATTATGAAATACTTAGAGAATAATATTTTTATTAAATAAATGTATTACTCTATACCTGGAATTCGACATCAGTATTAAACTCCCTGATCAACATCCGACAAACATCAGCATGTCCATTTTGTGCGGCTGCTTGAAGAGCAGTGTGTCCGCCACTTACAAAGTTGGTCAGTATCAGTTCTTCAGTGGATTCTTGATTTACTTGATTTGCTTCAAAATTTTGTTCATTTTCCAGAATCTTACGACAGTTTTCAACATCACCATTAGCTGCCAACCTCACTAATTCACTTCCTATAACTTGTCTTTCATTTGCTGATCTGATACGTGTATCATTTTGAGATTCTTCCTGACTTCCTAGAATAACAAATAACATTTAGGAATTAATTAAAATAAGAAATATAATTATATTTAAAATATATTTTTAAAAATAATTAAGTATGTTGCATACAGTATTCATCATTTTAATATTATAATAGATTTTTGATCAATTATATACTATATTGTACACGTTTCAAATAATTATTATTTAAAATGAGATTTATTTTAAAGTTAAGATGATATTTGAACAATTTATATTAATATAATTCAAGTAATCTATAATAATTTACCTATTGATATTTGTACCAAGTAATAAGAGTGCTAATACAAACCATATTTAAAATTTAAATTCATTAATTTCATATATTTTTCTCAAAAATTAAAATTCCTAAGTACATTGTTTTAAATATTATCTATATTCTAAATTTAACCTAATTAACCTTAAATTCTAACCTTACAGACAATAATAATAATAATAAAATGTATAACTCAACCTGCTTAAGTAAGTCAAGATTAAATAAAAATAAAAATAAACAGTACATAAATCTAACAAACTTTTTTATGTGCAAGGGTGTAAATTTAAAATCATTTCCGTATTTTCATTCATTACACATACATTGTTATTATATTATGCCATATCAGAGAAATTATAAAAATATAAATATAAAATATTTAAATTAAGTAATAAGAAAATTATCGATTATCAAAACATAATCATGACATTTCTAAAATAATATTAAATAAAAATTTTATTTTCTTAATTTAAGGAATTTAAAATTTAAATTATAATTTTACATTATAAACATAGGCGGTACTATGGGAGGGGCATGGTAGGCGGCTGCCCCCCTGTGAGTTCTTACTCTCCCTATACATTTCAAATAGTGGTTGGTAACCCCTCATATTGCACGCTTATTTAGAGTCTGCATGATTGTAAGTAATAACATTATTATCTACAACCGTTGGAACCATTTATGTAAATATACCGATAACATTTTTTGCGTCAACATTTTCAATATTATTATAATTTATTTTTATCATTGACAAATCATGAACCAATATTATTACTTTATTATTATCTGTATCACAAACGTTTTGTATGATTTTTTACTTTGATTTGAAGTATGTATTTTATTTAATATTCTTGGGTTTTTTGGATAATATAAATTATAATAAAAATTATAAACACAAATCAAAGAAAAAAATAAAAACTTTATATGACTTTTTCATACAAGAACCATCATAGACGACTCTATGGGGTGTGCTGGGTGTGCCTTGCCTTGGCACACTATAATGTGAATAATGCGAATAAAAAAAATTGAATAATTACAATTGAAAATATATGTGAATACATATTAATTAAATTTTAGTTTTTTGTAAATAATATTGCAAGTGTTCAGAATAAGTCTGAAATAATAATTACGTATATATTTTACCAATCGTTATTTTACATCATTAACAATGGCTTTATTTTTAGAATTTAAATCATAACATGGTCTACACGTACATGTTTATAGCCTCCCCTTTATATTTTGAAAAAATAACCAAAAAATGACAGGGCACACTCAAATATATCACTCTGGGTCCGCCTATGAGAACCATCACAGATAAATTGTGGTAAGTTATTATTTTATAATTTTATAAGATAAAATAATATAAATGTAGGTATTTGTAAGTATATTATTCATTTAACAAAATAATCTTATTTGAAATAAGTTAAAATAGTTATCAATAAAATACTTTTTTTATATTATTGCTAGTCTAAAGATTTAGAAAAAATAGGACAAAATAGTGTTGATATTTAACTTAAAGTATTTCCTACCCCCCCCCCTGCCAAGAGGGTCTAGTACCGCCTATGATTATAAATAAGTTACTGAAAATATATATAAGCTTCTATTATAGTCAATTTTTAATAAATTAAGAAGCTCATAATTTTGTTATCTGTACAGAAAAAATTTGAAAAAAAGTTTTGTTATTAAACTGGAAATAAATTAAAAATTGTTCTGTTTATTGAAAAATTCTAAATAAATTAAATATGATTTAAACTGTTCACATTCACATATTCTTAATAAAAAAAAATTAATCTTATTATATAAATACATAATTCAATCAGTTTAAAAATATAAAAATATGTTCTTTGCAAACATTTTGTTAATATTAATTAATTACTAATTATTATTATTACTATTACAGTATATTACATAACACACACCTTCAATATTTGAAACTGTCGCTCTACTAGCACTAGTAGAATTAGATGCAGCAATTGAATTGTTTCTGTTGAATTCACTAATTAAAGTGACAGCTCTTGGATTATATGTCCATGATGTATTGCATACAACTATCTTAAGATCGCCATCATCGTACACCTGTTGTATGTATCCTATTTCACCCAAAGTCTAGGAAATATACCAATTATAAAATTATGATACATATTAATTTCTATCTGATTTAAGCTGATTGACAAAATCATAAAATAAACTAAATCATACCATCGCCATACCATCAGCCCATTCACCATGACCTTTTTGCAATTGACGTACATAGTCCAAATCCTCTGAAATTTTCACTGTGGAACCCACACTAAAGGAATATTCTTGTGGTGAAGATGGTAAACTTGCAGAAGGATTAGCAATGCTTGCCACAGTTGTTGTCGGAGTAATAATATTATTATTAACTTTAGTAAGTGCAGCCGCATTAAATGTCCATCGATTGCCACTTGGATACATCACCACAACGTCGTGATCTTCATCAAAACCAATTATAGATCCGATGGTGGCACTTTGCCTCATTCCTTTCAAACACTCTTCATTCATACATTCTACCCAACCACCATGATCTCGTTGTAAAGCTCGAACCACATCATATTCTAAATCGATTCTTACCTAAAGTGACAAAAGTATTTAATTGTTTAATTTTAATAACTTTTTAAGTGCTTAAGAAACTTCAACTCTTATATTAGTAAATAGTACATGTAGTAGATAAATGTCTTACCCGATCTCCTATTTCCAAATTTTGGAACTGTTGTTGGTTAGGATTCAAACCACGTGGAACTCGTCTTAGTAATTCATAAAGCTGTAGAGCCTCATGACAGTGTTGTCCTAATAATGGTAAGTGATCCCTGTATGCAGTCGTTGGTGCTTTGGCCGAAGTTAAACACTTCAAATCCGACTAATTTTAAAAGTAAAAAAAATTTTAAAAAAAATATAAATTTAAAAACTAGGATAACATACCATCCCTTCAAATCCAAGGCGATACAAGTTTTTGCCACCAGTATTACTAATAGGGTTATCCCATTGGACTAAGGCTGCTGAGCGGACACTACCCGACACCAGAGACCAGTCTTGAATTTCACATACTTTTCCACGTCTAATGGCTGCTTGTGAAATATCATTATTCAATCCTTTTTGTGTAATACATCCTCCATCTTGGTCATCCCATTGCCAATCAACACCACGGGCAACTCGAGCCCCAGTAAATATACCACGAATTGTAACTTTCTTGGATTTTTTCCTTTGCTCTAATTCTGTGACACTTTCTCCATTGATATTTATGATAGGTGATGGGGGTGTTGAATCCAGTAAATCAGGTGGTAAAGGTTGTTCAATCAATATAAACTTATGCCGAACATTATGTTTGTCTCCATGATAACATGTAGAACATAGATCTACAGAATAATTGACTGTAATCTCCTGGTCAGTTCCACTCAAGGGCCTAGGTGGACAACTCACACATTTCCAACGATGCCCAATAATGGGTGTTGTTTTACAAGCATAGCATGATGTACCAATATGCTTTGAGTGTCCTATATAAACAATTATATACAATTTAGTATGTAATATTTTTTAATTCTGTACCGAAATTATTATTGATAACCACAGTCATTTAAAATCCTTTCCAGTAAAATGATCTCACTATAATAGAAAAAAAAATAAAATATTAACATGTGAAATAGTCTACCAAAAAAATGTACGAAATATTTAAAGAAAAATATCCTAATCACAAGGTTCTTATAAATTTTTCTAGTCATATTTTAAAGAAAATTTCGACCTGATATTTGGACTTCCACAAAAAGATACTTGTCCCACTTGTGAAGAGATGAGTATTTAAATAAAATATCAATGTCTTAACGAAAATACAAAGAAAGTGGTTCTTAAGGAATTGTTAGTTCACAAGGGTTAATGTAAAATATTTTATACAGCTTTAAGTTCAATAAAAAAAAATATGCCAAGACGATAAAAAAAATATGGGAATTTGTATTATTGTTAATGTTTATTATCTTATCATCACCTCACTGTTTTGTGTTCCAATAACCATGAAATAATTTGTTGAGAATTTATAAATGTGTTGGTTAAACATACATTTTATCTTTGAAATTCTACAACAGACTTCTTATTTTTTCCAATCAATAAAAGGCATACAACAGAAAATTTTCAATTAACGAAAAAAAATTGGAAGATATCAAATTACATTGAAATTTATCCCAGAAGGATATTATAGATTTTGGTAAACAATAAGTGAATGGCCTTCAAAATAAATATTTAAAACATAAAAAATTATTTTTGTTTATATTTTATATTCACATAAGTTATATTTAGTAAGAATTGATGAATAAAAAAATATTTTGAAATATTTGATATTTCTCCTTCTATATTAAAAAATAAGATATGATAACAATTTATTTGAAGAAATGTGACATGTCCATTACTTTTATTACTTAAAAAAATAAAAAAACTATAAAACTTTCATTTTAAAAATTAAATTAAATTTTCAAGTGATTCAATTAAATATAGAAACCAAAATTTCAAAGTTTTTAAGTTAAAATTTCATATGTTATTTAGTTTTTTACCTTTCCTGAACAATTAGGAATTGTGGATTTATCACTTTTCCGTAGTTAGCAATTTACATATATTATTGCTTATTATTTTAGGAAATGAAATGATTATCATTAAAACAGAAATTATGAAACATATTATATTTCTTTGTTTGGAGATTGTAATTATGTTGATTTATTATTATTTAATTTAAGAACAACAAAATTAATTAAATGGTATAATTTGTAATATGTATACCTTGTACACACATACATGATGAAGGATTGTCCCTCTCATCCACTCATATGTGCATTTTAACCACTTCAAACTTAAAACCATATAAATTATAAATACTTTTTACATTAATTATTCCCAAAGAAATTTATTATTTAATGTAATTTGGAAAAAAAAAACTTTTTTGTTGTTAAGAAAGTCACAACAATTAAAAAGTGTTAATATTAAAACCAAAACCATGACTTGTATCACAAACACAGATAAAATTAATTTTCCTTTACATGATATATAGATTATCAATTAATATAATTTTGATTATTTATAATGAAAAAGTATTAATAATGATATTAACTTCAGCAGTATTTAAGAAATAAATTCTAAAATAAATTGACAGTTAATATTGTTAAAATAAATATTTACTATTTAATATTTAATACTATAATAAGTTACAAAATATTGTAAAAATAATTATTTTTACTGTTGTCATAAATTTATTATAAACATAAGGAGAAAATTTCTATAATATTGTGTATTTAAAATGTATAGTTTGCTTCCTCTCTTCCATTTTATCTAATTTGTCCATGCTTATAATTATAATTATTAAATTAATTAGTTAAATAACATGTGATATACTAATACATTTTTACAAGATTATTTGTTTTTTGTAATTAAAAAATGTTTTAATCTACTAGTAACTTGTACTGTCATTCAATTAAATAACTAAATTTTGTTTTAAGTTTATGATGGTAACAAAATCTATCCATACATTTAGAATATTTTAGAAATAAATTATTTTTTGATCTTCTACTAATACTATGCAAATTTTTCTATAAGTTTTTTAATATACTCTTTGGTAAGCTAATTAAAGTATTTAAAAGAAAGAAAAAGAAATGGTGTAAGAAGTAATATACATTTTTAAGGTTAATAAATCTGAAAACTTGTATATTTTTCTAAAAAAAAATTTTTCAATTAAAAGTAGTTATTTAATAATAATAATTTTTAATACATTGTTTTTACCTGTTGGTCCACTATCATAAATGCGTAAATCATATTGACCAGAACATCTATAATTGGCTGCAATTCCATTATCCCATACTACAACCACTTCTTCGTGCGACTCAAAACTACGCACAGTTCCGACATTACCTTCTCCGCCATCCTAATCCAAGTACCATTTTAAGGTTAAGTTAAGCATTGAATTCTATGTGAACACATTATAATCCATATTACCTGTTTGTTCCATTTCCAGCTAGGACCTCGAATAACCCGAGCTCCAACATAATTTAGCAATGTGGAACACACCTGCGACATCTTGTTTAAGTCTAAAGCAGACTACAAATATTACTGGCAGTATAGCTCGAATAGCTAAATTATGTGTTGCTGTTCCGTCTATGATCACCAATCATATTACGCACAGTAGAATCTAAAATTGCAAACGTGAAACGTTAAGTGATGGACGTCCGGTTGTTATTTTCAACTACCCCGTGTAGTGTGTACGAGACACGCAAACGCTCGTCAACGCGTTATGCTACCGCAAATACGGCGTCTGAACAAAACGTCGCCTTCGAATGTCTAACTGATGTACCACATTGACAGAAAAATTAGTAACTCTTAATTCGACTCGAACGCGCAAGATTACTAGACGGTAGCTGTTAACCACCACAAACAACAACCACTACAACGAAGGAAACACTGTTGCTGTTTAATCGTACTGTTGCCAATGTTTACCTATTTACCATTACGGTTATCACTAACACAGATAATTGTCGAGAATTTGGTCGCGATTACAGATGAGTTATTGGTATGTGTTTTTTTGGTATCATCTCCATTATGTGAGCCACCATGGATTTTTCAAAGAGATTCAACACTAACGCCTATCGAACCGAACCACTGCTCCCCTACTATTCACCCCACGAATGGTAATCGTCGATATCATACGTTCTCTAAGCCGTTGACCGTCACAAACTTTTCGAATCCACCGTCGTGTTATCGTATTGTGCTCTGTAACATTATGATAATTAATTATTTCTTTACCCGTGCCAATCACGGACATATTTTAATGCTGCTACGCACTGACAAGCGTTATCAGTGGCGTAAATAGGAGGGGCCCTAGACCCGGGCCATAGTGAAATTTTAGATTCAATTAAAACATTTTATGCATATTGCTATACTTTGGCTATCCATGGAGGGTTTGGGGGGGTCAGAACCCCCCCCCATGAACTTAAAATGGTAAATTAACTTTTACATGAAACATGGTTTTAACATTTTTATATTTTAGAATTTTGACTTGAAAATCATATTAATAGTTAGTATAAACACTATAAACGTATTATACACACGCTGCACACACACACACATACACACACACACAAAAGTCATAATATTATGATCATATTTAGATACTTTAATACTACTTTGATAATTTTTTCTTGGGAACATACTATTTAGGTTTTCTACAACGGTTGATTCTAAATCGATCTTCTGGTCCTGATATCTGAGATAAAAGCGATATCATTATCTGTATTCAAAGTTTATTTTGGGTATACCTATTGCATTCGAGGCTTGCCGATTATTAAACACAAGCACCTTATTGTATAAAACTAATAGTTATTAGTTAATAGTTGGTCGTTGCCCGTTGGTGTCTCACTGTCTTACTTACTACTCGTTTACAGAGATGGATAGGAAGTTTTTTTATTACAAGGAAATATTTTAATGGGGCCACCAAGATAAAAAAAAAATTGCTTTTAAAAAGATTATTATATTTACACATCCTAATATAATTTAAATAATTTAACTATAAAAAAAAATAATAAATTTCTATGAAAAAATTAATGGTATCGAAGGGGCCACCGACATAATATAGGGCGAGGGCCCACAGGGAAAATCCCTTTTTCCCTATAGGAAATCCCTATCCACCCTTGCTCGTTTATTTGTTTATATTTGAAATTTGTATTCCATTATATTTGTTTTATTTTAATTTGACATCATTCTAAGACGTATAAACATTCCATTATGGTAAGATATTTTTCAAATCTAATTTTTAGTACACCAAAGTGATTGGTCAAAAAATATTCTAATATCTAATATTTATGTTCCTATATTAGTTCCTAGTTCTTAAATCGTTATTATTATTATTATTTATTATAATAGGCAAATTCTCTAACAAATAAGTAGACTAGAAAAGTTATTTATTTTTTCTTACCCGAGTCAAAAAAACTAATGTATAAAATGGTTTTTAATTTAATTTTTATATTTATATTAATATTAGGTACAGGATATTATACATTACTACATTAAATGCATAAATAAGTGTTTATTCAGTAAAAAAAAAAATAAGAAAAATGTTAATCGAATTTAATTTTTCTATATGTACTATATTTTAATAATTATTTTGTTAAAATAATAAAAAAAAACTTTAATATAATTATTTTCGGGTACCTAATTTAGTCTTAAGAATTTGATTAAAATTAAAATTAACTAAAAAAGGAAAAAGATGACCTATAAATGAACAAAAATGACTTAAAATTTAAAAACATGAAAAATTGCAAAAAATTGTAAAATAAAAGTTGCATAAATGGATTCGTAGTTACATAATTCAAATTATGTACTTACAAAGCTACGTTTTACAATCACAAAAAAAAAATGCACTTTCCTACAAATTCTCAGCCTTAGGGAAATCTAAAATAAGAAATACACTAAAATTACTAAAATTTTATAGTTACGGAAAATGTAGTAAGAATCACTATTTTATAGGTGGAATGACTAAAACGGTTTAGTTATTAAGACTATATAAAAATAGTTGGTTTCAATAATGAATATTACTATATTTTATAGTTTATTTTTTTCATATGTTTAAATCAACTATATTTTATAGCCCAAATAATTGAATACTATAGCAATAGATCAAATTGCTATAAACTATTATAAGTCGAACTGTCGAAATATAATTCGGCGAAAACTAAACACGCGCAAGTCGCAAACACAAAGGTAAAATAAGGCACGAGGCAACACGCGCGGCATGAAATAAAAATTCTTAAGAATTTTGTCTCTTGTAAAACATATTATCAGCTAATGGATGGTGGTCACCATTACCCTTATGTCAGTTTATCATACTTTTCGACACTTCTACAAGAAAGTCTGACGCTCTACGGCTCTCTAAATTTCAACGGATTCAAGTCAAAAAAGTAAGTTTTTTACACTATATACTGAATATGAAGTATATTATTAATGTATATAGTTATTTTCCAGTTTTGTTTAAATTATTTAAATAAATATCGACTTATAGTTATATAGTTTATTAAATATAAATTAATTACCGAATTGTATAGGTCTATAATATCTTAGATACCTACCTACTTAAATCAGGAAACAATTTTTTAAAAGCAGTTAAATTTAAATTTTTAAATGTTTATGCTAAGTAGATATAAAGTATACAATTTATTTCATGTTTATCGTTGAAATCATACATGAAAAAATATTACTTTAAGGTTCTGAGTGGAGCGAAATATAAATATAGTTTTACTATATATGATGTTTATTTATTTAGGTATTATTATTAATATTTTTTGTTAACTTTCGTATAGAAATGCTTGCCTGAGAGTTTACATAAGCAACTTTTTGAATCAGAATTTGCCCCTATATGGTACTTTTTGAAGGTAATTTTCGAAATTCTCAATAGTTTTTCCAAAATTTTCCAAAAAAGCCCTATAAGACTTTTTTTTTGTATCCAAACTTTATGTAAATTTAAATATAGATTGATAACAATATAAAAAATATTTTTGTGAAAGGAAATTTTGAATATTTTAAATTTTCTCTAACACTTATTTCTCATCAAAAATAAATTTTTTTGGTCTCGGATAATAGTAGAATATAAAACTGATTGAACAAAAATTTAATTTTTTTTTTTAATTAATGGCATTAAATTGTAATTTGTGTAATAATTAATCTCTAAAAAACTACATTCAAAAATATTGATATACCGCCCAGATATTATAAGATATTATAAGGGTAGCACGGGACTTCTGAGACATACTATATATAGATATTATTTATAAATTATAAGTTACTACCTATAAAAATAAATTTATTTAATATAATTTATTGAATAATTGTTATATTAGATACCTACTTAAATATGGACGAATTTACTAAAAACTAGTTAAATGATATTGGATTTCAACATTTAGTGAATAAATTTGAAGGTAAAGTAAAAAAATAATAAAAAAAGAACAGTTTAAAAAAATATATATAAATATAAAACCATTATACTCGGTAAATTGTCTTCGCAATTAATATAAGGCCATTTTATGACTGAATGCTGCTGTAATGAGCGAACAAAAGCAAATTAAAATAAAAATAAAAAAAATGACTGAATACAGATTAAAAATAACCATTTATTTGATTGATTCAGACTTTCAAATGTTTTAATCACTTTTGATGATATTATAATTTGATATATTTAACTTAGAAATTTCTGGGCAACGTGCGTTTTTTTTTTTTATGAAACTTTATTTTTCCAAAATATTTAAATACCGGAATTATGATGAATCGATTTTTTAAAGACAATTTTTGTCAAACAAATATTTTTCAAAACTCAAGATCAATTTTGATATAAATGAATTGAATATTAAAAAAAATATTATTAAAATTTATTAAACGTAGGTAGTTAAATTTCATCATCAATGAAAAAACATTTTAGTAATTTTTTTCAAATAAACTTAGAAGGTATAACTTATGATAACATTAGATGAATATGCTTTAGAGTATATATTATGAGTATATCCCCCAAAACATTTTTTTTTAGATTTTATCTCTATTTATTTAATTATTTTCTATTTTTCAAATTCAAGTTTTAACTAAATAAATAAATATTTGTTACATTATTATTTTTATTTATTCAAAATCGATTTTATTTATTATACATTTATTTTTAGTGATAAATAAACTATTTTTGGAGAAAAACCTATGTATTATTTTATGTTTTTAGAGGAAGAAATTAATAAAACAGTTTTGATGATATTAACTGAGTTAATGTTGAAAGATTTAATTCCCAAAATTGGTCGAAGAGCCAAGTTTATTAATGAGTTGGAAAAACTAAAAATACTAAGTTCAGTAAGTGTAAACCTTAATGTATATTATATTTATTCAATTTGATCTCAATTATTAAATGTTTTTTTTTTTACTTGCAATACTCAAAACAATTTTTTTTTTTTTTTAATTATTTCCCCAAAATTGTATTTTGACGTAATTAGGAAGTTCAGTTAAAAAATGAAAAATTATTGACATTTGAGTCAATGATGAACATGACTGTGACAGATGAAAAAGGTAATTAAAAAAAAAAATTAACATAAGTTTAGGTCAGTGTTGGTTTGGCTTGCGATAGAGCTCACTATTTAAATATACTATAATAAAGAACTACAACAAACATAATTAATTAAAATGAATTATACCTACTTGAAAATAAATTCAGAGTAACTAATATTAATATTTTAAAAACTTCTTAAATTTATCATTGCAATTACAGCCTGTGTTATCTACATTACTATTTACCAATTTTATTAATTAATTAAATAGTTTATATTCTTAAAGATACAATTTAATTAAAATAGTTAGTCAATTTTCTTAATTAATTCATAAGTTAATACATTATTAGTGATCTTTTAATTTAAACACTTGGCTACGTCTTTTGCTAGTTACAGTAAAAATTTTAAAATGTATTAATTTAAAGAAAACTTAGGTATATTAATTGTTCAAATCAATCAGTTTTTTTATTTAATTTTGAATATTACTTTAAATTTTAGAATTTAACTGAGTACAAAAAAAAGAGTATAAATTTAATGCAAATAACCAATACAAAATATATTATATTAGTATGTAGGTGAATAATTTCAATTTAATATTTATTTATGTCAAGAAAAGGACCAATTTTTTGTGGTATGTTCAATGTTTAAATTTGGTGTTAGGCTCCTTAATTATCAAAACAATTAGTATCTATAAAAAACCCTGGATAGCCAGGTGAGCCAGACTGACAATAAAATTATAGTAGGTACCTAATTAAAATATATCTTGTATATTATAACACAATTAAAATTAAATTATATAGATGTATCATATTACAATGTAACTGCAGAGACATTTCAAAATAATGCAATTGATACTTTAAATATTATTCAACAAGATTCTTATCAGTCAGGTACAACATAATTTATTAACAATCACTTATTTGATAAACACTTGGTTTTATAGAAATAAAATCGTACATAATTGTATATTAATTATATCATAATATACAGATAAGCCGCAACCTAAGAAATTTATTTCAGACATTTTTGAAAATTTTTCAACGACTAGAGCAGAGTCTGAAGTTTCTAATGTTGATAATCCACCAATCATCGATATGAATTCGAGTAATAGTAAAAGTTATTTGCAAAATATTCAAAAATTCTATATGATAAAGAAAATAAATTAAATTATAGATCATTTTATTAAAAAAAAAACATTGGAGCAATACCAAGATGGTCTCCTTATACTACAACACTTCAAGTCATATGGGTCATTAAATGAAAAAATGAGAAACCGACTTTGTGGAATATTAATAAAAGATGAACTTTTTAAAACTTAAGGTGCAAATAAAATTTAGAAGACACAATTTTCGAAAATTTCAAATGGTAGATATTCGTAACATTACATATAGGTATTTTGACATTTAAAGAATGATGCATGTGGGTTATAACATATATATCATTAACAATTAATCATTATAAACAAAATATATTAGGCACTGTAAAAACATTTAAAATTATTTTATATCTAAAATGTTTTTTAATTTATTTTATTTTCAACTCTACAACTATAACTCTATAAAGCAACTTATTTTTAATAATGTAGTAGGTAAATTTTGTATAAGTTTTATACTATGTATAAAGTTTGTTAATAACTATAATAAATAAAGAGGGGTTTTCATACTCGATAGGTATAGAAGAATTCTTTCCTTCAGAAAACAAATATGTCTATTTCAACCCTTATTATAAAGAAGGTAATAAAGTGAGTCCTAATCGAGGAAAATTGTATGTCAAATATTGTAATTTAAAAAAAAAGATAAAGAAAATACATTTTCAAAGTAATAAAAACATAATAAGGACAATGAAGAAGGTATCTATTAATTATTTCTAATTTTTTATTTTTAATAAAATATGATTCTTATAATGTGAAATTGACATTAGAATTAGATATTTATTATAATATTAATTTGTAATTCTTATTTATTAATACTTATTGCATACTTATATTAAATAGATATTTTAGATTCAATAAATTGGCTAAAGTATAATATAGAACCAGAAATTATTTTACACCAGTTATGGGCTGAAACTGCTCATTATAGAAATACTAAGCTAATCAACTAAAATGCTATTCACAAATATCCAGCTTTAAAAAAGGCAACAGGTCACATACTTGTAAGTTTAGTCACACAAACAACAAAAAGTGTCCTTATGCCATAATAGATTTAAAAAATGTTTGAATTGCAGTATATTTAATTAATATTAAAATAAAAATAAATAAATTTATTGCTTTCAAATATATATTTTTTAAATCTTAATAATATAATAAAATTTTTTTTTCAGATAAATAATTAGAAATATATACAATGATTTTTCTTAGATTGATATGGATTTTTCTCACTTATTTCCATCAAAAGACCAATATCTTTTACAAAAATTTGATGTATTCAAAAATAAGTTAAAAACATATTTTAAAAGACAATTAAATTTAAATGTGTTTGAACAAAACATAATTAAAAAAATTATATCACCTGCTAAATTAGTCAAGTTGTTTAACTGTTAACATAGCATTACTAATAAAAATAAAATTGGAGTTGGTAAACAGAAAGGTTGGTACTTATCTGTAATTTGTTTTAGGTGATGATGATTTAGCAACTATTCAAATACTTCCTTACCTATTTGAACCAGTGAATATTAAAATTCCAAAGAAGATTGCCAATGAGGACAATCAAAAAACAGTTAAATATTGTATGCGAAAACCATCAAAAATAGAACAAGCTAGTGCTGTGATAGTCAATAACACAGTAAGTTTTAAATATTTTATTTTGTATTTATCTAATATTTTGTCTCAAAATTAAAATATTTCTTATAGGTACACAAGTATTTATAGGTAGTTTTAATAAAACAACAGGAAACATAAAATCCCAATACCTAATGCTTAACATTTAAAACATAAAATAACACTAGAATATAAATTAAGTAGATACACTTACACTATACACTCAAAGTCATAACTAGTATATGCCATCATTTCTTAGACTATTTACCGACATTGTTAAATTAATAATTATTTAGTTTGTAATCTACTAGCTTGTTGTAAACATTTTATTAAATGATACCAATACCACAGAATAGATACCTTATCTAAATGATATCTATGATGAGCTTTCTTATCATTAATAAATTCTAAAATTCAAATATCTAATTCAGTTTAGTGACGGGAATAATCAAGTAAGAACACTCAAAATACTCCATTGTTAGATTTAATCAATTATCTCGATTGCTTTGAAAGCAATTGTGTGATTATCTCGGTATTGAAATAAATTAACAGAGAGGTAATTTTTCGAGTGAATCACTCGATTGTAACAACATCTTGATATTCTTAATCTTTCGTTTATCAAAAATCTCTCTGATGTTCCCATCACTATAATATAGTATAATATATATATATATATATATATACCTAATATTATTAGGTCTATTTTATTAACACTTTATGGTGTAACTATATTATTAAAGTACTAAATACGGTATTAATGTAAAATTGCTTATTTCACTGAATAGTAATGACATCAAGACAATCCATGAACAAAAAGTAAATAGAGCATTTATTAATAATTTAACTGTTCATCCATATATCGCCATTGTGGGGAATATTGAAGATGCTAGTCGTGTATTGAATTACTATTCTGTAATTTACAATATTTATTACATAACTATATATATATATATATATATTAATATACTCGAAACACCAATTAAGACGTTAGATATTTGTTTTAAATCATTCCATGCATTAAATTTAAACTATCCTCCAGAAGCTGAGCAGGTTTGGTGGTTTATTCAGGATTATTTTTTTGAAATAGCAAATGTTCATAAAAAAAAATTTGTGGCTGTTCAAACTTTAATTAAAGATTTTCAATAGCAGTTTCCAATTTCAATTAAATATAGGTAGGTACTTTTGCTAATAGCAATCCTGTATAAATAAATAGTTTGAATAATTTGTAATACTATTAGTAATTATTATTATAAGTAATATTTAAGTTCTTGTGCCCTTAGGTACCTATCTACAATATTTCTTTATTATGTAAATATTTTTAAATTTTGTCATCTATATTATATACCAAATTTGAAAATTTGTACTAAACTTTTTGGTAAAATTAAGTAAAACAGTTTTTTTTTTTTTATATTATTTATTGTAAAAAATCTATACTATTTGTTTAATGAGAATGCACCACATCGCTTATGGCAAGGCACCATGATGAAACTTGGAACAATTAAATACTCCACCACTTACAATTAATTATTATTAAATTTGTTATATGACATGCACGAGCTTGACCAGATTTGTGTCCACCGCCCACGGTGAATTCTCATTTGAAAAAAAGTATATATGTCCATATAATATAATATATATATTGTATATTTAATCTATGATATGTCCTATTGTTATTTGTTTTTGAAATAATAACTATATACAAAATATTTGATATGTTATTATTTTAATTAGTCACCAAATAGCCAGTAAATTTGTTACACAAATGAAAATAAAAAAATAAATAAATATTGTATTTACAAAAACGAAATTATATTTGGTTACTATATTTAACAACGTTCTTTTAAATTTTATAGGTAAAATCATGTACTAGTCAAAAAAATAGCAACTATATTAGGTACAATTTGAATGAATATAATATTGTAATTTTATAGTAAAAATTACTATATATGACAGCAGGTACTGCTAAGTAAATAAAATAATTAAGTATAAAATTTGGTAACGAATACTTAATTTTATAGTAGTGTTTATTACAAGTTATAGCTCAATAAACTGTTTATTATAGTAAATTAAATTTCTACTGCAATAATATGAACTAAACCTTCCAGTTCTAACTATTAGAAATTTTAGTATGTACTACTATAAATACTGTTTGGACAACCAAATAAAAATATACAGTGAACTATAAAATTTTAGTAAAAATTACTTTATTTTCTAGTAACAATGACTATAATAACTTAACTAAAACATTAAAGTAAATCTCACTAATATTATAGCTATCCCTATAGCAATTATAAAATACTGTTAAATCTACTATTTTAATAGTGGGTTGAACTGTTTAGTTTTTTCCGTGTAGATAATCAAAACAATAATGACCACATTCTTGCGTCATTAATTTTGAGCTGACCGGAAAATAGCACACACACTTGCGTCCATCAGATATATAAGATGGTCCCGAACAGGCCCTAGGAGAGACGTGTTTTAGTCCGACTTAAGCAAGCACCTTCACGCCAGTTTAATTGTCAATTTAATTAAATACTTGTACTTAGAAATATTTCAATAAAAAGTTTAACTTAATTTGAGTACTTTTATTGGAATTATCCTAACATCCTCAAATGAACTATTGAATTTACTGCACGCAACACCATAGTGAAAATAATTTCTATATACGCCACTGAGTGTTATGCATTATATTAGTTGGTTTAGAAGTCAAGTAGCTAAAAAATATATTGATGACACATAATATAAAGAGGAGTTTTTATAAGTTATTATAGTACAGTAAATGAATTGTATGATTTATTGTGTTTGCGTACGACCGAAGTCTAAAATTATTGTCAGTAGACAAAACAATTTAACTAAAACGTCTCAAACACTAAAATATTTTCCAATATAATGATTGACACAAGGTACTATAGTGGTTTTACCATGGCTGTAGAAATTTGAACCATCTACAACCGTGTATTTTACCAAGGCGGCAATATCGAGTTATTTATTTAATTTTCTGTTGTCGCTCAGTGAATGGTTACGGGTAATTGTAAATAATTTATGTGCTCTTGTAAACGATGTTGCCGTGCATTTAGTCAACATATATGTTATATGCCAATGTTGTGTTAATTACAGAGACTTAAATACAATTAAATTCTGATACCGTTAGAATTCAATATTTTTTTTTCATTTACGGTGAATTTTAAATATAATTACTAGGTAATAATTATTAACAATAAAAGTTCCATTTTCTAAATAAATTTGTATACAATTTATTATTTCAAAGCATGAATTGACGAAAAATCAATACAGAATATAACCTACTATTACAGTACGTAGGTAACTATATATGTAATTTATATTACATTTCTATTCATGTATTTTATATCTTGTATGTATAAATCAGTTTAGATAATTCAGAACTTATGAGAATCGCAGTGATTTAATTACTAAAATTAAATGATATTGCTATATTAATCACTGGAAATAGAGAATTTTGTTTTATTGTGAAAATACTTTGATGTTGTAGAGTAAGGTTGAGATGACATTAATTAAAAATGCAGACTATTACAATAGTATAAATTATAAAATACTAAGTCTATTCCATAATTTATAGGTTTTATTTAAAATTGGAATATATCAGTTAATGTAAATAATATTTTTAATAATTCAAAAACACTTATGTTGTTTTGAAGCATATCATTTATTATTTCTCTCGTTTAATATTCATTGCACACATGTACAAAGCAAAACGTCATCCATGTTAGGTTTTATCATCAGAAACTGCAGACTTAAAAAATGCAGTTATTTTGAAATTATTGTACTATGCATTTGTACGCCCAATTCTAGACTTCTGACTTTTAGAATGGTAATTTGGTCACTATACATGATAAGTTTAGAATAAGCTATAGAATTAATACAAAATCGGTTTTTAAGAATAGTATAATTTAAATGTAATGTCATACAACTATCTCACTCCTCTAATCAGCCATTATTGACTTTTTTAAACAATTAGAAACAAGACGAATAAGGTTAAATCTCTGCTTCATTTTTAATAAAATACTTATAATATAAATTATATTACATTAAATGCATACATTTTCAAACATAAATTTTACTACTTAAAAATAATGAGATAGTTTTAATTATTTCAACAAATTTTTAATGTCACTTGTAAGAAACCAAATCTTAATCAATTTCAAAAAGAGCAACATCATGTTCTATTAAACGATTTATATATTGTGATTTACAAAATGCAACAACTGATGTTAAAACACTCCTGAAACAACAAAATATTTTAGTGTTTAAAGTTTAAAATTTAGAATAAGTTTACCCTTTTGGAATGTTATCTTGATTCTTTAATATGGTTATTGCAACTAACTACAGACCATAACCTGAATTTTTCGTGTTAACCTATAAATAAATAAAAATACATAATACATAAATAGTTACAAATAATTTTTAGAATAAACATTACCTTTATACTAGTTTTTCATGTACAATTATCTTTATTCTTTGTTTGCTTCAAATTTGTAGCACTTTGTTTAGCAATAGATCTATAGCTAATCACAGTTAATGTTAGTCTTGAGTTATTCATTATCATTTAATTTGGACTAGTTTTGATAGCAACACCCAATGAAAATTTTTTTTGGATACTATAAATAATAATATCTGAAGTTTAAATTAGTTATTTTTAAATTTATCTAAGAAAAAATTATATTCATATAATTGTTTCATGAATTATCAATAGTAATAATTTGTATATGTGCCTGAACCAGAAGAATTCTAATTGGTTCAAATTTGGCCATGGTTAACAGTATTATAAAAACAAAAAAAACTACATAGTTCCTGACATTAAAATTGTAAGGTAATTGGTCAGCTGTCTTGGCCTGATGGACAGACCTTGTAATGACAGCTTGATTTGGTTCTGTAAACACATTGGTTTATCATCATTCAGAGCTCTGATTTGTTGTCTATGCAAAACTCTACAATTTTAAAATGTTAAAATGTATTGTAATATACATCTATCTTGGATAAATAATGTATAACTAGTGCCTTTAAGGAATATGGGTGTTCATAAATAGTGTTTTAAATAAATTCAATTATTAATTGATATATTCGAGATAAAATATTTAGTTGTGTTATTGCATTATTCATAATTTCATTATTTATTGAGTATAGAAAAAAATGAATTATTAAAAATTTCTAAATTATTAAAAACAATATCCAACTCGTAAAATTTGGTTTATTTCTAGTTAATCCTATTAACTCATAGGCGTGCGCACGGGGTATGCAGGGTATGCCGCTGCATAGTCTGCGGCTTCATGTGAGGGGCCCATA